CCATTAAAAATTTGAAAAAAACTTGAAAGCCGTGCGACAGTGTATAGAAATAGTTGACAAAATTGTAAGAGATATTTCCAAATTAATTAAAGTGCATTGTTAACTGACCGGATTGTTGTAGAAAAATTGGCCAATGATGCACGAAAAGTGGCGCAAGAAGAAGCGAATCGCAAGATCCAGGAAGCATTCGCCAGTGCAAGTAAGAGTTGTATTAGTTCAAATTCTTGCCAGAACTGTTTGAAAAATTTTATCATATTTACCAATAATAGGCAAAAAACAACAATTCCTCGTGTTTTTCAGGCGCAAAAGTTGAAACAGTGAAAAAGGAAGCAGAAGAAGAGGCCGCCCGTAAGGCAGACGAAGCTAAGCGTCTTGCAGGTCACTCAATTCCATTACCTGGAAGTTCTAAACTTATTTAGGAGGTTTAGTTATTTTAAGTGCAAAAAATCTCTGAGGGATGCAAAATCATGGTAAGGTTTATTGGCAAAATGTTAAATAAATAAGGAACGCAAAATTTTAAACACCGGAGTGTTTTAAACACTGGAACCAAATTTAGATTAGAAAGAGGTGTAATCTCTTTCCTGTTTTTAACCCCGCACACTGCTAAAATTTTTTCTGCGAAATCCTTCAAGAATTTTGAAATTCATATTCAAGAACTTGAAAAAATCAAAAAATATTACAAATAAATCTTAAAAAATTAAAAATTTCTAAAATTTCGGTTTGTTAAATCTCATGGTTCGGAAATTGATTTTACACAAATCGAGAAATTCACAAAATATTTTTCCCGTCATGCCATATTTTTTGCAGAAATCAAGCAAAAACACTAAAAAATCACTCAAGATAGAACTAAGCTTGACTGCTGTCATCTTTCTCAGGGCTTCCATAGTAGTACTGAGAAAGTAAAATACGTTGAGCTGTCAGATGCTAAGTACCCTGTATGCTAGTCTTTCAGCAAACAACTCGTAATTTCAGATGAAGCTGCCGAAAAGGCGCGTCAAGAAGCGCAGGAGGAAGCAGACCGTGAAATCGAAGAGATCCGAAAGAAAGCAGGTCCTTTCATTTTGAATCGTCTGTTCAGGCTAATCTTGATCAATAATCCAGGATGAGGAACCTTTATCAAAACGAATGTGACATTCATTTGCTTTGTTTCACTATCTTACCCTAATTGCAGATGAGGCAGCTGAAAACGCTAAGCGGCAAGCCTATGAGATCATGCAGCGACAGGTTGCTGATGCTAAAAAAGCTGCTGGTTTGTTGAATCCCACTGAATTTGTCCATAAGTAGCTCAGTTTTAAGCTATCCCTCTGAAAATAAACATTTTTTTTAAGAGGAAGCTCGAGAACAGGCCGCGAAAGATGCACAAGAGCAAGCTCAGCGACAAATTGAAGAGGCCAAACAAGCAGCAGGTAGATTTCCGTTAAAACATCAAATTTTCCTCTCTATGAGGGATTGTTGTTCTTGGGAAGAAAGATTCAATTAAATTTGCTGAATATATGGCCGTTGTGGGAAAATAAAATGATGAAAAACGTTTTCTTTTGCAGATAGAGCAGCTGAGCAAGCGCTAAAGGCTGCTCAGGAAAAGGCAGCCAAGGAAGCAGAGGAAGCTAAACGTGCTGCTGGTAAGGCCCAGCTTAATGAACGTTGAAAATTTAAAATTTTTCAGTTTTTGCAACTTTTTTGCAATTTTTTCTTAAAAACTCGTTTTTTTGCGCAAGTAGCAAAGGAGAGGTTTTCCTTTTTTAATGTTTTTGATACCTTTTCAACTCTTTTAAGTTTTTAAATCTTATAAAATTTTCAAATTTGCCGACTGCACTGCTTTTAGATGAGGCAGCTCAAAAGGCTATCCAAGATGCCCAAGAGAGAGCAAACAAACAAATCCAAGAAGCTCGCAGTGTTGCCGGTATTATTTTACACAATGTTTATTACGACTGTGGAATGAATTCTTCTCAAATAAAGCTCTTTTCTGAAATTTTTCAACAAAATTTTTCTGTCGAGCTAAAAAATTGTAGGAAAAATGACCATTCACGCACGCAAGGAAGCTGAAGCTGCTGTCACTAG